ACTACTACTACTACTACTACTACTACTACTACTACTACTACTACTACTACTACCACACTACTACCACTACTACTAATATAATAGCAATGATTGTCCATTCATATGATGTGATGAGTTGTATTGCCGTTATGAAAATAATAATAATAATCTATATTATCACTTTCATTATTATCATCATTATTGTTAGGAAATGTCGACTGACCTCTAAGCCCTCGTGGCGGCTGATGAGCGCCTGGCTACTCTCAAGGTCGTGTCCGAAGTCGTCACTGCTGACCACCAGGTCTTTCTCCTGGATCCACTCCAGAGTGTCATCCGCATCCCGGCAGTACATGTGCACCTCTTTGGCCCCGCCCAGAGCCTGGTCAAACACACATATCCGTTTATTTTTAGTAACAGTTTTTACTGCACTTGCAACACAATTAGGTCATATAAGTTTAGTTTAGTTTTAGTGAAAGTTTTATGGTACTTGCAACATAATTAGGTCATATAAGTTTAGTTTAGTTTTAGTGAGAGTTTAATGACACTTGCAACACAATAAAGGTCATATAAGTGCCGAAGATTAGAGGTGTTACAAGAGAGTAACAAACACAAAAAAGAAGGAGGGGAGATAAGGACGATAGATGTTTGATAGGAAAGACGGAGCAAACCACAACAGAGCACCCGTCAACCACCCACTAACAGTTTTTACGGCACTTGCAACACAATTAGGTCATAAAAGTTCTGAAGTTTAGAGGTGTTGCTTGAGAATAACATGCAAGGGAAAAAAGGAGGAGAGAAAGGAGGTTGTAGAAGTGCCAAAGATTCGAGGTGTTGCAAGAGAGCAACAAGCAAAAACAAAGCCAAAGGAGGAGAGATGATGTCGATAGACGTTTGAAAGGAGCATGCATCACACCTAGGCACCCGCCAACCACCCACTACACATATCAAGATTGTGATAATAGTTACATTCTGTTGGAAATAGGTTAGAAGATAGAGAGAGAGAGGTTTGGGGGGGGGGGGGGTAGATAAGCAGACAGACAGACAGACAGACAGACAGACAGACAGACAGACAGACAGACAGACAGACAGACAGACAGACAGACAGACAGACAGACAGACAGACAGACAGACAGAAAATAGATATATAAAGAGAGACAGAGTGTTTTCATCAGCTTCCAGACACAAAATATTCATAATCAACACATCCTAATCTCTCTCTCTCTCTCTCTCTGTCTCTCTCTGTCTGTCTCTCTCTCTCTCTCTCTCTCTGTCTTACCTCTTCTCTTTCTACTCCAAGTGCTCTCTCTGTCTCACTCTTTCCATCTCTTTCTCTCTCTTTTACCTTCTATCACACACTCTGAGTGTATGTGTGGTGTAAGTGTGTGTGTGTGTGTGCGTGTTTATGTGGTGCATGTGGTGTGTGTGTGTATATATGTGGTGTGTGTGTGTATGTATGTGGTTGTTGAGGTGTGTGTGTCTGTGTGTGTCTGTGTGTGTGTGTATTTGTGTGCATGCGCGTGGCATGCGCGTGTGTGCGTGTGTATATTTGTGTGCGTGTGTGCATGTGTGCGCCTGCGTGTATGTGTATGTGTGGTGTACATGTGTGCACGAGTGCATACATGCGAGTGCACATGTGTCTCTACACATAGGCAACACATCCCCCACTCACATCCTGTCTAGCCTGTGAGATCTCCTTCAGCTCCTCCCACTGTGTCTCGATGTTCTGGGTCCTAGCCTGGATGCCCGCCGCCTCGAAGTGACCGTTGTCCAGCATGGCTTTGGCCCGGCCCAGGACGCTGGTCACTCTCTCCTCGTTGGTGGTCAGGTCATGAAGGAAGTCCTCAAACCGTTGTTGGAGCACCTGGGAGTGATAGGATGTTTTGAGGTTTAGAAAGAATTTTACGGCACTTTCAACACAATAAGGTCATATAAGTGCCGAAGATTAGAAGTGTTACAAGGGAGTAACAAACACAAAAAAGAGGGAGGAAAGATAAAGATGACAGATGTTTGATATGGGAAAGAAGGAGCAAACCACACCAGAGCACCAGCCAACCACCCACGGAGTGACAGAAGGGCAATGACGGTGACAGATGGCAATGGCAGAGAAAGATAGTAACAACAGAACAAACTGATGACAATGATAGTGAAAGATGACAAAGACAGATAACAATAACAGATGACAATGGAAGTGAGAGATAACAACGACAGACGACAAAGATACCGACAAATGACAGATGATAGATGACAATGACAATGGCAAAAGACAATGGCAGTAACAGATGACAAAATGACAGTGAAAAATTACAATTATAGAAGGTTGTGACATATGGCGGTGACGATGATAGAAGGGTTATGATAATGACAATGAATCTTCCCTCCACTACCTCTCCGTCTGTCTGTCTTTCCGTCCGTCCATCCGTCCGTCTGTCCGTCTCTCTCTCATATCCTAGCTGGCCAGTAAAATCTTATTCATCTCTCTGTTTCTCTCCCTTCCCTTCCTTTCAACCCCCCCACCCTCCTCTCGTTATTTCTCTCCCCTCCCCTTCCTCT